CCTGATTACATATAATAAATATTAGCTAGTACAGTATAAATATTGCAATGTTTACTATATTTCATACTTCACTCCATTTGGCGGATATATTATTGACAATAACTTTTGGTTTTGCATTTGTTTTGGGAAAGGCAGCTAAATCACCAAAACCTTTAGTGTTATATGTTTTAGGCTCCATTTCCCCCAATTCCAAGAATGTCTAGATAATATTTTATATATTGTAATTAATGAATACAAGTATAACTGATTATGAGATATATTCTTGTAATTAATTAAATATTTTTCCAAATACTGTACTAATATTGATTGTATTAAGCGTGTTCATTGATTATCTAATTAGCATCATATAATATCATATAAGTTATAATAGTATCTACAAGTATTCTATGTAATTTCTATTCAAGTATTTTAAGTACAAAACTTAAAATCTGTATTCATTTGAGCAGTTTTATTGCTTATGAATGAATACCTGATGCGAGAGCACGACACGTGAGTTCAGCCCATTGGGCGATGGCGTAGGGAAACAGTCATCGAAGTAGTCCTAAGAGTGTTGAACAGAGCCATTGTGATGAACACCGCTTTTGCCGTCAATAGGTTTCCGGTTAACACGTATGCCATAAAACACGCGAACAGTATTATATACCGACAAATTGAAAGCATTCAGAAAAAGGGCCCGCCGTATGCCACGGATCTCATTCCTATTTATAGTAAATATCCTTGGTTATTCATTTATAATTATTATTTATCATTGAGTTTCCAACTTTCCACCTTATTGCAAAGTGTATCCCATTTTTAAAATTACCGCTATTACCGGTATAATTTTTTGCATACAAGTTTTAAAAGTCTATTAAGTATAACTATAGTAAGTATAACATTCGGACATACTTTCTAGCGGTGGCCACAAGTTTGGCAAAGGACTGCTCCCAGGCATACATTTTGATGACTCGCATCCCCGATATAATCTCATTCATGAGCCGCAATCGACTGTCCGTTAACTGAGCGGTCATTAGCCTATGATTTGAACACAAAAACAACAAATTATTAGACCAAACATATTGACCGCCAGTTGTGTCACAAATTCCACTCAAACCTGACTTTCGAGAAAAGTTTGCCCATAAATGCCTGAAACAGTATAAACAGCAATAAAAGGGCCAAACCTACGAAGCAATAGTAACTGATCGTATATATCATATATACGGCGATCCCTGTCTGTATGGGCGCTACGAGTAAATAGCAGACATTTGTTGAAAACTGTATTTAAAAAACAAATTATTAATAAAATTCATTTGGCTTTTGAGTCCAATTCCAGCCCTATTTTCAAAGTATTTAAAACTTGTTTCTATAAAATGATTTCAGAATTTAAAACTTTGTGATAAGTATCTCAAGTCCTAAAGTTTTGTTTGCTAATTGAGTACACAATCCACGAGTGATCACAACTAACTCACAAATTGGTATTGATTTTTGATTTAATAACAAAATAAGATTAAAATACTACAATAGTTACAGTCTATTTTCATAGTCAGATGTTACCATTAAGAACAGGGTTTCTCATATATGTATCATAAATAATATATTAAATAATTTAAGAAAAATATAATATTGTATCACAATAATATTATGATGCACTTTTACATGAATTCTATTGTATTACAAAATAATAAATAATTTGCTTACTAAATAATTAATTGGACTGATGAAATTGCTACAATGTCATAAATATTATATGCAGTATACAGTACTGTACATATTTTAATGACAATATAATCACAAAAACAATAATAACTATATTTAATTATAAATAACAAATTTTTAATAAAAATTGTGACAAACATATACTCGTACTAATTATGATGGCCTACAAGTTATTATTTCATAATAAATAGATGATAATTCTAAATATATTCTGTAATGTGAAATCACATTGTTCACAATTGTAAAAATTACTTTTGAAAAAATTATTCAATTTGTGAATTGTCTGTCAATTTATAAAAATGAATTATAATTTAAAATTATTTATTAAAGTATTCTTAAAATTTTTGTGTATTTCAGTACTACTTTATGGGGGAATAGAAGTGACAAAAGAGTACTTCAGTTATCCATATGTTTATACGCTTTCTGTGAAACCGTCGACACGTTTAGATTTACCGCCGATTACTGTCTGTACGGAAAGGGGTGTCATATTTGTTAAAACAATTATAATTTAAAATTATTTATTAAAGTATTCTTAAAATTTTTGTGTATTTCAGTACTACTTTATGGGGGAATAGAAGTGACAAAAGAGTACTTCAGTTATCCATATGTTTATACGCTTTCTGTGAAGCCGTCGACACGTTTAGATTTACCGCCGATTACTGTCTGTACGGAAAGGGGTGTCATATTTGTTAAAACAAAGATTTTTGATTATTTTAATCTTAGCCGTGAATACGAGGAATACAAACAAAATGTTTCATTCAAATCAAAACAGTATTTGAATGACTGTTTGGATTCCAAAAAGTCTCACAGCTATGTCACCTGTAATGATGAGATGAAATGTAATGATAGATACGGTGTAACGTATGGAATGAAACCATTAGAACTTGGCTTAGATTGACACGGGCTAACCTTGCTTAGATTTACTTCACTACTAAGTCTTACACGTATTAACCCTGCGTAGGTTTACAGTACTAAGTGTTACAGAGTTGAGGACAGTAACAAACTCAGTAACTATGAGTTACTATGAAGTGGACGAAGGCTTAGAGAGACTATACTTTGATAACAATAAACATAACTTTATTATAACATAAGAGACGGACCTCCGCAGAGCAACCGCTCGGGTCTGCGTCCGGACTAAGACTCACATAAAGCATACAAAATGCATACAAAATGCCATTTCTTTTATACAGTATTTTAGGTCTTAGTTCTCAATCACAAAGTGTTAGACCTTTAGGTTTATATCAAATAATTCTAAACCTTATATCAAATGATAGGAGTTTTCCATAGAGTCATATCAAATATACATTCAAATCAAGTCTAAGAAAATACAATAAAAGTCATATATATGAGTGAAACTTAGTTTAAAACAATGGTTACTTTCACTCAATACTAGTTCCACTCCACGTATAGTACAGTTTTAAAACTTAAATATTAAGTAATAAAATATTAATTAAGTAATTTATTTATTTATTATCCTACTATTGATTACTGATAACCGTAACGTTTTTTGCATTTTTCTTATGAGAATAGTAAACAATCAATAAATTAATTATAATAAACAAGGTGATCAAAAGTGACAAGTAAACAAATTCCATAATTATGAATATCACGGAATAATCCTCAATATAATTTCCCACAATAAACGGTGTGACCAGGGTCAATAATCCTTTGAGTAGTCTGAATGTGGACTCAGTTTATTACTGAATCCAATGTGTAGTTCAGTGAACGCCACGATCCCGGCATACATGGCTCAAAAGCACAGACACGTGCAAATACTGGCCACCCATAGGCATACCATGGAATACCGGCTCGGAATCAATAATACTGTACCCGTAAAAACAAGCATAATATGTGCGCTTAATATTGTTTTCAATTGAAATCTACATTCAATCAAATAAGTTTTAATTATGAAAATACCTTTTCATTGTATACTATAGTAATACTGTATTACTTGTACGGATAGAATATATTGATGACGAGTCCGGCCGAGTAGATGGCTATGGATGTCCAGTATATATTGGTTGCACTTTCAGGCGATAGTCTGAGCGGTGAGTACTGTTCAGTCAGTGACCGCCGACTTCATGAACACCTCATAAATGGCATACAAGGAGACGGTTAACGCGAATAAGAGTGCAATCCATGCGCGCGGGGTATCCTTCGCGTTGAATCACCTTTGAGAAAAGTCTATCACTTTATCGTTATTATCATTATTATTATCATTATTATTGCCATCATTTGTGGTTTGGTTTTCATGATTCACATCTCATTCTCGTCCTTCTCTTTTGGCATTTTGTATGGCTTTAGACAATACATTATGAACAGAGATATCGGTACTACAGTACTGTGTATTTAATTAGTAATAACTAAATGTAAAAATGAAAATAATTAAACCAGGTGATACTAGAGTAAAAGTGATACCCGTTAGTGTTGACAGGTATGTTTCTTAAACCGTTGTTTGCCATTCAATGAAATTCATTATAATTGCATAACTCGTATGAATACGAGATATAGTGAACAACGGATACCACAATACATAAGACATTCACTTCTGTTATATACCACAGAATACTCGTCTGAATTGATATTACAGTATATAATACTATTTCATATAAATANTGTTATATACCACAGAATACTCGTCTGAATTGATATTACAGTATATAATACTATTTCATATAAATATATCGGTTTATATGACATAATTGCCGAATATTCTCATCCATAGAATTTTAGATACTTTTAATGCATATATTGTATGTTTGAATATTTATTTAATTTGAATTAAGTAATTTAATTTAATTACAAATATTTTAAACGGTTTATACATTTAATATGATATTGAAGTAATAAAACAAAATTTAAACAGATATTGCATACAATACTTGCAATTGCCATGTAATCAATGTATGTAATGCACTGTATGTGTGAACTGAAAGCTATTCTATGCGCTGACATGCAATACAAAAGTAATATCACTTATTATTATTGACTATAATTTTTTGTCCATACATTGTACTGTGAATATACTTGTTAGTTAATAAATAAATTTATATTATAAGGCATTCATACAGTATTTACTATTTTGAATGCAACTTTTAAATTTTCAACTTATTTATACATTTTTAGATTTATTTAGCATAAACTCATAGAAAAACAAGATTTCATAGCATTTAAGTCTATTCAATAAGGGCTCAAACTGTGTATGATTTACCAGAATATTCTGATCAATAGCCCACTTATTATATTCTGTCAATACTTCGCTACATTCCGGTCTATCCATCCAATCGGGAAATACATCATTAAAACCATAAATTCTTTTAATTTAATTACTTTAGGCTTTAAAACATCATTTCTTGGCTGATATGCTTGTGAACTATAATTTCAATTTTACTTTAAAATTAATTAATTGTACAAAAATACCAAACAGTACTCAGAATGCAAATCCATATCAAATATATGACATGCGGTCACCGATAGGCTATATATGTCTGCCTTTTGATTATATTTATGGCTATAATTGAGTACACGAGTGATGACAACGAACTCACAAATTGGTATTGATTTTTGATTTAAAAGTAATAACAAAATAAAATTAAAATACTACATGAGTTACAGTCTATTTTCATAGTCAGATGTTACCATTAAGAACAGGGTTTCTCATATATGTATCATAAATAATATATTAAATAATAAAAATATAATATTGTATCACAATAATATTATGATGAACTTTTAAATTAATTTTATTGTATTACAAAATAATAAATAATTTGCTTACTAAATAATTAATTGGCCTGGTGAAATTGCTACAATGTCATAAATATTATATGCAGTATACAGTACTGTACATATTTTAATGAAAATATAATCACAAAAACAATAATAACTATATTAAATTATAAATAACAAATTTTTAATGAAAATTGTGACAAACATATACTCGTACTAATTATGATGGCCTACAAGTTATGATTTCACAATAAATAGATCATAATTCTAAATATATTCTGTAATGTGAGATAACATTGTTCACAATTGTAAAAATTACTTTTGAATAAATTATTCATTTTGTGAATTGTCTGTCACTTTATAAAAATGAATTATAATTTAAAATTATTTATTAAAGTATTCTTAAAATGTTTGTGTATTTTAGTACTACTTTATGGGGGAATAGAAGTGACAAAAGAGTACTTCTGATTTCTGTGATAATACCCGACAGTAGAGGGAAGTATGGACTCCAACCGATGTCTGTCGAGTATGTGATCAGTATATCTCCCGGCTATTCATCAAAATGTTTTGATTAATTATATTTGAATGACATTTATTGTGGTATTTTATAATTACTTGAATACTATCAGCTTCAGTGATATCCTCAGAGACACAAACTCTCGCTCGAACTGATCCATTACTAACAGGCGTTCCCTTCATCTGAACCATACCTGAACCCAGAGTTGGAGGAACAATACGATCTTCAAACTAATTGATATAAAAATTAATTAACAATTTTAAATAATTACCAAAAGTATCTAGCATAATATGGTAGATTTAGTTATAAATTATTAGTTATAATTTTATTATAACTAATTCTTACATTTCTAGGTTTCATTTGTGGACCCTTTACGAACTCATCAAACTTGTATTTATCCATTTTTGGGTAAAGTTTTCTCCTTTGTCTCACTTTTGCAAATATAAGCGGATCTCTACTTCCATTACAAAGGCTCTCAACCTCTTCAGCCGTCAGATAGAAGAAGGTTTCCGCGGATGGAATGAGTCCTTCGATGACCATCTGATTAGCCAAATAACGGAAGGCCTGTTTTTGCTTATTATTCATCCAAATCATGAAATATTTCGATAACTCTCGATATCCGACACCATTTCTACTCCACGGGAGTAATAATTTCTTAATTAAAAATTTTCGACTAAATGTTAGAGGAGTCTTGAGTTCAGCGATCACTTGATCCACAGATTTGGAAACTTTTTGTGTTAGTTGTGACTCATTTCCCATTAAAATTGCCTAATATTCAGAATGTTTATAAATAAATTGCTTAATATTTTATAAATTAGTATTAATAAACATAATTAAAATAAAACGAAAGTAAATACTTTGATATTTTTAACGCAAGGGATAGGGTTGTCAGCCCAGGGCAGGTGCATGGGATCAAACTCGCGATACCCTCTGTGGCCGTGTTTCTCCAAAAAGTCCTTAAACTTCTGTGAGCTCTCATCCGTCCCCTCCATCAGTGTCTTTAACGCCATTTCATCACTCATTTGTCTAAATAATTGCTTATCTTTTATGGATTTGGCGATTTCCCTCAAAGTGTTGGGCACTTCAGCACTGATTACTTCATTACACGAAGAGATCAGTAAATTGAAATCCGACTCCAATTCCGGATTATTCTCTGATAATATTCACATAAATAGTTTATAGATAATGTCAACAATTGGATGCAAACCTATACCGACCTTTTGCTCCTTCCAATGCCTTCCTTAGAAACATGTGTTTAATGGATGAGCCCATAGAAGCCGGCCCGTGATTCTTGAACTGAGTCATTGCCATCACCATGTAATTGGCTATAATCTCATCTAATATTTGTTTAGAATTGGGAATCCCTTTCAGTTTAGAGACCATATCAAACTTTAGAACATCCATGTAATGAGTTTTGTCCTTGATCAGATTTCTGGGCCCAAACAGTATCACATGGATCATCCCGAAAAACGCTTTAAATTTATAATATAACGACATTTTCTTTATTTCCTTTTTCGACTGTTTGAATGAATCCAATACATCCTTGTCTTCGATGTGATGGCCAAAGAAAGCCAAAATCATTTGACTCGCCTGATCAGACTCCGGGTAATCGCCAAAAAACTCACTAAAAACTGACTAAATTATCCAAAAATCAAAACATTAAATATATAAATAGTTATCATCTCTTTGAATAATTATCAGTTTCTTACGTTTGTTAAGTTAAACATCAATTGATTGTATTGAATGCCCATTTGTAACGTATACGGGTTGTAGTCATCTTCAGTGGTTCTCCCATTAGCCAAACCAAACCGCTATCACAATAATCAATGAAATTATAATATAATTAATTCACTCTACATTTCAATTCAATTACAAAAAATTGGCTTTTGTTGGCAAAGGTCCAGGTGAAGACCAGCCAAGACGAGGCGCCGGGAAAGTTTTCGCCCCAATGGGCCCGGGAGTAGATCTCAAACTCTGTTTGGTGAGGAGTGTCCACTTCGTGCATAATCTCGTAGTCGGTGTAAGAGTTGTCTAAATTAGTTACGGGTCTCGACTGAAGCATAAATATTTGGCCCCCTTTTATACCCCACTCTATATCTCTCGCATTTCC